CCTGTGGAAAAACTGTGATAAACTGATGGGTCATTCTCAGATGGGTCTGCCTGAGCAGGAGCTGGCCTCAGACTGGGGAAGGAGCTTCCCCACACATCCCCAGACATAGTACTGAAGTTACACCCTTGTGTAACTGTATAAAACACACAGAGGTGTTTTATAGATCCCCCTGCTTTTCCTTATTTCCCTGTGTAGCCACAGAGGGAATCTCTGCAGAGGATGAGAAGTGTAAACCCAGATTTTATATCAGAAAGCAAAGTGTACCTTCGTGTCCTGGGAACCTCATCATGCCTGGGTTTGCCAGCCCCCTCCATCTTCCAGCCCCATGGATCTAGGGGCTTTGGGTCACATCCCAGGCTGGGCTACAAGGCACTTGAACCTTTTCAGAACCCCTTTTGACAAACTAAACTAATTTTTCAGGCCTTGCCTTCTTAAGGCCACCAGCTTTCCAAGAAATTTTAAATCCTATAAAATTCACCCAAATCCCATAATCCCTCATGGAAACAAAGGCTGGACTGATTATTTTTTGCTAAAAGGTTGGCAGGCTTCCAGCTTTCTCAAATGCAGCTCTGCGGAAAGAAAAATCTTTTGAGGGCAAAATCATGTACTGGTGGTTTTGGAAAGACAAGTTAAAGTAAGGCATTTCAGGAAAAACAAAAAGCCTTTAAAAATAGTCTTGAAGCTATCTTTATCCCCAGGTCTGGAAGAGGAAGGGTCACACTTATTTTTTATCTGCTTTCCCCCCTGCCCACTGAAAGAGAAAGGGGCAAGTGGTTTATTTTTAACCTCCTGTTCCTGCTGCAGATGCAAGAAAAGCCATTTTTCCCAAAGCTGGCTGGAGCTTTGTGTGCTGGGACAGCTGTGGGAACCTCTGTCTGCCCCAGCTATGAGAAAATAGGGCTTGGAGGGGGTTTTGGAGACCAGGAAATTATTTGTGGGTGGCCAAATGAGGGCTGGGGTAGCTCAGCAATATCATTGCAGGGCAGTCATCAGGGTCTTTCTTGCAGGGAGGTCTGCAAAGATTACATGGGTGCTGCTGCAGCACCTCATCAGAAAAGGGCCTTTGATTCTTTCCTCTCCTTTTGGAGTGGTGAGAGCAGGGGGAAGAGCAGCACCCACCCTGTGCCACCACATCAAGGTGCCCTTGGGGAAGGGGCTCACATTCCTGAGCTGCTCCTCAGCTCTGGGGAGCATGGATGGGCAGGGGGGCATCTCACTCCCTGATGCCACTGCTCTTCCCAAACCCATAGTAATCTCCTGGGAGTGCAAGGACCAGTGCTGCACAAAGCCCTCAGGATGTGGGTGCACAGTAGCTTTAGAGAGGCAGGAGGGTGTTGTAAGTTTTTCTCCTTCCCTGCCATTCCTGATCCATGATTTACCTCTGCTGCTGCCAGATGTGGAATGTCTGGGTGAGAATGGCTGCCAATACCCCAAACCCTGTGCCCAAGTGGCAGGGGCCAGGTAAGAGGGTGTCACTTGCAAGGTGAAGCACAGCATCATTTGGGACACCCCTGCAATGACTTCTGTCCTCTCTCAGTTCCATAACAGCTTTTTGCAATTCCTCAGTCTAGCTTCTCCTTTACCATCCTAAATAACTGTCCATCCTGAAGCAATCTCTTCATTTTTAGTGACCACTTCATCCAGCCCATGACACATGGCTCCAGCAAACTCCCTTCCTAGAGAAACACCCCCTCTGCTTCCCAGATTTCATCTCCAGTGGGAGGACTTTGATTTTCTTGGCAGGCTTTGTGCCTCTGTAGAGGCCAGTGGCAATATGGGACAATTCACCCTTGCCTGTGCTTTTTGAGCCCTTCAGAGGTTTGTGAGACAGGACTTCCCTTTGCAAAAGCCCTGTCAACTCTCCCCAGGTAATTAATTGCATTTTTTGATACAGTTTCTGGTCATGTGGGCAGCACAGAAACGAGGTACAGACACCAAGAAACCTCCTGAAGGCATTTTTCAATGTCCTGTGGAAAAGCAGTGCAGCTGCCCCAGTCCAGGAGCTGTTTGCAGTGCTCTTGCTGGGAGGATGCAAAACCCTCCCATGCATTAACTACTGCACAGCCTCACAGCAGCTTCTCACCTTGCCTGGACCCCTTAATCCCCATGCCAGTGGATTTAATACCCCTGTATTAAAGAAGGCAGCTTATAGAGAGGCTGCTGGGAATTTATTAGCTGGGCTTTTGGGAGGCAGAGCCAATAAAATAGAAACTTAATGAGCAGCATGCTGGTCAAAGGAGTTTAAATAATACCTAGCAATCTACATCCTCCAACTCTTCACCTCCAAGGCTGATCAGTGGAAGTAGCTACATCCATGAGATCCCAACAAGGGACCAGAGTCACTCTGGAACCCTGGGCATGAATGAGGTGGGAGCCAGGAGCCAGGACAGTTGCTTTAGATGATTTACAGAGTTAGTGGCAGAGTGGTAGAATTAGCTGATTTATTTGAAAATTAAAAAAAAAAAAAAAAACAAAAAACAAAAACAACACACCAGAATGATGAGAAGAATTGCATTACACTGCTTTTGGTTTTTGCTAAATGTAAACAACAGCTCATGTTATTTTAGAATTTAGCTTTGTTAATAATACTGCAGGATGCACTGAAAGCACCTTCCTGGTGCAAAGACTTTCCAGACCTGTGAGGCACCACCAGCACTAGATTAGGCACAGGAAGGAAAGGCAGTGGTCCAAAAATTCAGTCAATCCAGTTTTAGGCTTCCTAATCCCATCTCAGAAGTGGTGAAGCCACATGAGAAGGCACTGATCCAGGATGAACTTGCTCTACCTGTTCAATTTTTCTTTTTTTTAAAAAACAGGCTTCCTTTGAAGCATCAGGCTTCACCCCAGATCAGGTACGAGCTCATCTGTACATCTAACCTCCTTCCAGAGTAGCCACAAACCCTCCCCCAGTGAGAGACATCCAGCCAGCCCAAGCTGTGCACAGCTCAGGGAAGGGCAACACATTTGTGTCAGAAATCTCCAGTCATTCCCCCTGCTCCCTTGAATATCAAACAGCAGAGCTGACACTGCAAAGGCAGATATCAAATTGTAGTATCTGTTCCTGAGAAGCAGAAAAGGAGCAGTGGCTGCCTGCAGGAGATCTGCTGACAGCACCAGGGCTTGAGGATGCTCAGCACCAATGGCCAAGGGAATGGCAGACATCCCACTGCTCCCCTGGAACCCCAGGGACAGTTCACTTGGATCTGCACTTCAAAGAAAGTGAGCTACCAAGGAAAAAACAAGAACAACTGTGTGTGCAAGCCTGCTGGGTGCTTGTTGGCAGCCCTCCTTGCACTGGCAGGAGAAAAGAGCCACAGCCCAGGCATCACAAAGGTGCACAGGGCTGCTCAGGACCTTTTCCAGGGTAAAATCAAAGGAATTCAAGACAGGGTTGTGAGTAGCTGATCCAAGGGAATGTGGGAGCAAGACACATTTGCAGATACAAGACATCTGCATTTGGAATGGGGAATAGGAGAGAAATGCATGAGGAAACGGATACAGGAAGGAAGGATGAGCACATGCCCAACTCTTTTTTCTCCCTTTCAAGTATCAGCCACAAAGTGCCAGAGGTCTCAGGCCACTGTGCCTGATGGACCTCGGGATTCTGATGCTTCCAGTGGTCTCTTCCAGTGTCTCCATGCGACTAATCCCAGCCGAACAGCAAAGATCAAGCACGTCAGTACCAGCAGAACAACTGGGGAAAAAACACAGAGGCATGTTAGAGCATAAAAAAGACAGTGCCTCTTGTCATACTTCAGCTCCCAGAACAGGGGTATTCAGGGAAAGACAAAAAAAACCACAATCGCCTATACAGGATCCATTTCCCCCAGAGTTGTATCTCTCAGAGTTTCACTGCTATACAGTGGAACTTGCCCAATGCTTCCAGGTCAAGGAATGTCTAAAAAGGGGGAGGCTTCCTGGACACAGGAGTTAAAATACATTACATTAACAAAATACTCCAAGAATAGTTGAACTATATAAAGAAACATGTACTAGTTTGGGGAAAGCACATTCTCGTCCTACCAGTCAAACCAGCTGAACCACTAAGAATGAAGTTTTGCTGGTAAGAAATGTACCTACTCCAGGAGCAGAGCTGCCTGCCAGAGACCATGCACACCTCCACATTCCTGGTGGCCACAACCATCAGGAGACCTCCAACCTCCAGTGCTCCCATGGCTGTGGCAGGCAAGCTTTGCCAAGTCCTGCTGGGTGCTTTCAGGCATGGCTGGGCTCCAGCTGCACTTAGAGCCAAGGGAACTGTTCTGGAGCAGCTCCAATGGTGGTTCCAGTCCAGAATTTAGCTTTGGCCACTGGTATGTGGCAGTGGGAAGGCTGAAGGGTGGGAACATGCTCCCTTCTGCTGACCCCGTGGTGGGAATAGGCATCTCAACCCATTTCAGCAGGATTCAGAGTTCACAGAGCTCACTGCCTTTCATGCCAGCACAAAACTGCTCATAATGGTACAGCTTCTGCCAGACTGTGATTGTACAGAATTTGGACAGCTTAAGCCCATTTACTATGGATGACTACACTCAGCTCTGCTACAGTGGCTGGCAGCAACCAGATAATCCCAGGAAAACTTGTTGAGGCTAGCCTGGGCTCTGCACAGGAGAGGAGCATGTGAAGCCCTCCGTGGGTCAGAAGCTCATGCACTGCTCCAATATGCCCAACAACAGAGGGCAAATGGAAGTCCACAGCCTTCATCCCAGCCCTGCTTTTCCTGTCCTGCCCTATGTCAGACGGAGCTGCTGGAGCAGCCAAGTGGGTGATGGAGGATTGCAGGACAAACATATTGCACTGGGAAGTGAACTTGAGACAACACAAGCTTTGGATTCAGCCCCAAGGCTCATGGGCAATGATTTCTGCTCTGCTCTTTCCTTAGCAAAACAAATACCTTCAAATATGTCCCTAGTTCTGCTTTTAACAAATAATGCTTTTCAAATGGCAAGACTCTCTTCCCTCAATACAGAGGAAGATGTGAAGTGTTTACAGGCCTTCTTTTACAGGAGTTGGGAAGATTCACCTATAAAAATGTCGTTGGTCAGTGTGGATGAAAACGAGCCGCTCCTGCACGCACTGCCAGTCAGAGCTGCTATCACCACTGGGTAGACTGTGAGGTTATAGCGGACATACTTGTCAAGAAAGTAGTTTTCTACATAAAACCTGTGAAGAAAAAAGGTGACCAGAATAAGAATTTTCTCTATATTTTGTTTTCCATTCCCTAAGAAAAGAATTAGACAGAGAATGAAGGGTTTTGTGGGCCACCTGCGACAAGAGTCCAAAGTTTTTCATTTACTAATATTCAAAAAGTTCATAAATAATATATTTAAGGTAACTTAAGGGAAAAATAAAGCCATGTTTCATATGGTTTCTGTATCACACCTTCAGATGTAAACCTAAGGTAGGCTGGGCTCATGTAAGTCACAAAAACGTGTTCCTGGCCCACAATACTTATTGGCATTGCTGAGGTCAGGGGAGAAAAGCTCTGCCCAGACTCCCAGTTCATCTGCCATGAATTATAACAGAGGTCTTTGTACTCAGTGTTGTGAGAGGGACAAGTGATGGCTGAATTGGAACAGCTGGTCACCACTGGTGAGGTGGAAGGGGTTTCTGAGGCTCAGTGGGGACCTGTGGGGTTGCTTACCATATCACCAGGCTGAGAGCCAGGATGCTCAGGGAAGCAGTGGTTGCTTTCTCATTGGGCACGTTCCACTTGTAGATCAGCACGACGGCGAAATTCAGCAGCGTGGCGATGCTGGTCCATGTCAGGTACAGGGCCAGCCCGTTCTGCACCTGCCACACAGCACAGCAAGAGGACAGGAGTGACACACTCTGTTTGTCTTTGGTGACCCCTAGGCCCCAATGCAGTTGAGCCAGACTCCTGGACCTAGCTGCAGGAAAAGTCCCTCAACACAGAGAAAAGGTGTAGCCTTGGAGTCCTGAGGGACTCCAGAGCTCCATGTGTCACACTGGTGTTTCAGGAAGTGCCAAGAACAGAGCCCACTCCCAGTTTGTGCCAAGAGATGAAGATGCCTTTCCAGAAAGTTTGCTAGGAACTTTTCTGTGCAGGGCAGAAATCTTTCCTTAGCTATGTTCTGCCACTGGATCTTTCACTCTTGATACCTCCAGCAGTGCACAGAGGTTGTTTTTATTTACCATTTACCCACAGGACAGCTTCTCAAAAGCCACGTACCAGAATGCGGATGAGCCAGAGCTCAGCTTTGTGAGCCTTCACAAACCACGAGGAATGGATGCTCAAGGCTCGGTGGGAAACAAAAAGGGAGGCACATGTGGTAAGAGAGAGGACTGCCAGGAACACCAGGGCTGGAAGGAGGTATCTAGGACAAAGAACATGTACACACACAGTAGACATCACATTTTTCTCAGTGGTGTCACAATGCCCTAATTTGTAGCTTTAGTGTTTGGCCTTTACTGGCTCTAAGTTGATCAGCCTTTAATAAAGGTAATCACTACACATAGCCTTCATTTTGACATATTGCTGTTGCTGTTTTACTTTGTTAATCATGAAGTTGTTTTCCTGACTCCAAGTGATTTCTTCACCTCTTGACAGCGGTGCTCTCATAAGCCCTTAATGTGACCATCATTATGGAAACCATCCAAGGCAAGGAGCTTAACTGCATTAATAAAGAGAGGCATGGCTCCTGTCTTATCTGTGCAGGTAAAAATGTAGAACAGCTTTGAGGAGATCTCAGACTTCAATGACCAATCTGTTTCATAGGTAAGATGACAACATAATGCAACCCCCCAAACTTTTATGAAGGCTACATTTTGGCAAAGCCTGGCATAGAGTTTTGCAGGCATGATCAAGTGTTCACACACAAAGTTAAAAAAAACAGAGAAAAAAATAGTACTGGGGTGATCCCACCAAGAGTGTTAAAAAGTATTTGTAACAAAAGACAACTTACTCTCGGTCCCACAGAAAGAGCCATCCAACGTTGAGGCAATTATTCAAACACCATGCCACATAAAAAGGTGTTGGCAGCAAGTCTGGTTTTATGAAGACATATCCAAGTTCATTCCTGCCAGGGAAAAGTGGGTATGGAGAGAGGAAAACAATGCCTTTATTGACCAAAAAAAACCTTTCTGGCCTAATTTTCCTTATATTAGGAGGGACTTTACATTGGAATTAAACATTTTGGCTTAAATCAGACTATTTATCTTCTGTGTCCTTCTCTGATACAATACAGAAATACCTGTGGCTTTCCCTGTCAGGCAGTTATTGATCTCATTACTCCAGGAAAAGTTTGCAGTCCAGTTCAACAAACCAAGAGACTCCCCAGTGCTGGTTGTTTGATCTCTAACAGAAAGTAAATTCAAAGCATTAGCTCTATAATCCATTAATTTTGCCCCTGTGGATTCTCAGCCTCTAGCAGTGGGTAAGTGCAGGTACTGGGTAAATCTGTCAGATTCCCTGAATCACTGGAAATGAAGCCTCATAGAGGAGTTTACACACTTTGATGTCCACTCTTTAGAGGAGTTCATGTACACCTGCAAACTGCTTCCCAGCTTTGGTTGCTGGACATAAGAGATGTTCCAGCCCCAGAGCTTCAACATGCCAAGTAGTGGCAGTGGGTTTGCTCTTGCTAGAAACCCTTGAAAGGAAGGTAAGAGACTGAGCTACACCAAAAGGGAAGAGTCACTGTCCCTTCTCATTTATGCTGTAAAGAATAAATAGGGAAAATACCTTCGACAGATCCCTGACAAGGCATAGAGGAGCCAGGCAAGCTGCCAGGCGTAGATGACGTTCCAGATGAGGAAAGTCCAGCCAGCTGGTGTGAAATCAGTGCTGTACTTGGCAGAGATATTTCCAGGGGTTGTCCTGAACAGACCTGTGGAATGTTATTGCAGGCAAAAGTGTTATTGCATCCAGAGCATGGGGAAAGACTAATTTTCCTGATTTTCCTTAACCTTCAATATTCCTCCCTGCCTCAGTGGGTTCAAGGATGATGAGAGCGCGCCCTTGGTGCAAACCAGCCATGTGCTGCAGTTGGTTTAGACATCCATTATGGGATCACTGTCCCTTATTGGGAACACTGTGCACCTGCCCTCTTAGACAGAGCCAGGAAAAACAGCTGTCTGTGTAATCCAGAGGATGGCATGATGGCATTTCCTGGCAGATTCAGCCAGTTAGGGTTCAAATGCGGCGCCACTACAAACCCACAGCAGCATCCTGAACATCTTCCACCAGGGATACAAGGGCGTGCAAAGACTGCCTTTCAACCACCATTAGATCCAGATTCACCAGGGACATTAATTGGATTTCAAGGGACTGGATAGGGTTCAGGCATTTGGCTGTAAACCTGGAGGATGCACCAGCTACTTCCACCTTTTACAGAACAAGGTGTATTTGGAGAGTTGATGAGGCAGCAAACACATCTATCCCATCTAAGCCACCTTGTATCATTGCATGATACAAAGCATGAAACCCACCTCTGAATGAAGAAAATTTGCTTGCATTACCTTTGAAAGTCCCAGTGGCATTTCCAGCATTCATTATCACCATGACCGTGAAAGTAGCCAGAGACAGAAACATCACCAAAATCTTCAACTTATGTAGAGCATCCATCTTACCCTGAAACACATTAGAGATATTGTTGGCTTATCCTACAGGAAGCCTGGATTTGTTCCACATCCCAGAGACTGTTTTAGAAATAATGTTGTAAATTCACAAATTTTAACTGCCAGCTTTTATTTGTGGAGTTTTCATTAGAACTAAAAAGGCCTTTGCATGGGCTAGGAGCATCTCCCTTTGATGAGATCTTGTGAGGTTGCAGAATGGAAATGGGAAGCTTTGGGAGAGCCACCTGCTCTGCCACCCTCCATTGCAAGAGCCATAACTTAGGTTTGCCTAAGGTTTTCACAAAGGCCGAAATAATTAGCCCACAAAATTAGCTTATCTGGCATCACTGTTTTACTGAAGCCAACAGGCTTATCAATTTTGCCCACTCTAGGAAGCAAATATGAAAATGTTGAAGTCTTCACTTAGCAGCCAAGTGCCTTTTAGTTCAACATAACTTCTCACAGTTACCTCTAATCCTATAACTCTGACAAATTAACTTCCTTTCATGGTGGTATTACCTCCTCATCTACTGGCTGCAAATAAGCTTTAACTGCTTTAGCACGTCTCAAGCACTTTATAGACTATAAAATCCACATTCTACAATTTTTCAAAGTTAGTAAGAAGTGACTTGCGCTTTCCCAAGAGATTTCCATTAGTCCATCATTTATTCTATGCCAGAAAAGTTTAGTGCCACCTCTAAGAGTAAGCATATACACACCCAACTATAGGCAACAGCTTTATTTCTCCTCACAGCTCAGCACTTGAGCTGCTTTCTCTCTACAGTGGCACTTCAATGCTTTCCAGGGTTGGCAGGAGTAACAACTGAGTTGTTCCACATTACTCAGTCTTGAACAATAAATTCCAGTTCCCACTACAGTGAATTGTTTTATAGTTCCAGGCTTTGTTCACAGAATGGGCTGCATCCAGACACGTCACAAGGAAGTGGGAAAGGAGATTCTGTTTTCTGTGAATCTACACAAGTTTTTTCCCTTTTCAGTTCTATCTTAACAGAAAAAACACCCTTTTAAAATATAAAAATTAAAATCCTATGTGGAAGAATGCAAGATATGAAATCCCAACTAGATTTATGTCAATCAAATTGCAGAACAACATGCTGTCTTCAACAGATACACTGGATTAGCAAATTCTGAAAAGAAAAATCCACTATTGTACTATTAGAGATATAGTTTCTGGCTCAGGAAATAACTGACATGCAGATTTCTGAAAGCCGTGAAAACGTAGAAGAAAAACATCCCTGTACACTTGTCAATGATCAAGGAAAGAATATAAGAATAGGACATTTTCCTGCTCCAGTACACGGGACTAGCTCGTCCTGTGACCTCCCTGCCAGGCTAAAACTCTGACCTCCCATAGTCCTGCAGTTGACTTCAGCATCACATTTCTTTTTCATTAGCATATTTTGAAGAACCTTGATTGCACAGCTTCAGAGAAACCCGTGTTTGCTTACAGAAGTCTAGGAGGAAAGCCTTGTTAAACAGGTCAATAGTTTCACTAGCGTCTCTCACCTCCTGCCTCCCTCTAACTTACTGCTTGCAATAAATGTCTGCAACATTTCCTGCCTGCAGTCTCCAGTCACAAACACCCATTAAAAGAATCAGAAATATTACTCACAGGAATCCACACAGGCTTTATGGCAGCGTTTTACAGCTGTGGTTCAGCTACAAACAGCGCTGGGGAGTCTCCGCCTCCTAACCCTATCTAAAGAGATTTCATACAACTCTCAGCAGATTAATAATCACTTATTATTATTAAAAGAAAAATTAAAAACTCACAGAAGTTAGACATACTTTCTGTCTGTGTGCTGCTGCAGCCTCCAATTGGCTAAAGCCTCCCAAAAACAAGCACTTATGCAAGAGAAATGTGATTACTTAACTAAAGTCTTTTATAACAGCCAGACATTTCGTATAACATTGCACTTTCCCAACTTGTTGGCAGACAGTAGCTAATGAGTGCATGCTCTGGGCTCTTGCCTGCTTTGTCCTTCCTCATCCCTGCCAGGGGGAGGGAAACTAAGCACTTAATGTAAAATACTGCACCTCAAAATCTTAGTGCTCCAGAGTGGGAAATGCTAGCAGGGGGTGCTGGAGAAACAGACTGGATTTGGGGTTTGGGCAAGATGGAGATAAAAATGGTTTGAATTGGAAGGGAGCTGAAAGATCACGTGGCTCCAACAACTCCCCTGCCATGGGCAGGGACACCCCCCACTAGACCAGGTTACTCAAAGCCCCGTCCAGCCTGGCCTTAAACATTTCCAGAGATGAACGCACAAATATAATACACAGAACCACAGGAAAATTTAGGTTGGAAAAGAACTCTAAGATCCAGTCTGAACATAAACAACACAGATCCATAGTCTGGATCCTGTGAGCATCTTCAGATCTTCCTACAGCCTCAGATGGATATTGGATCATGAGTAAATTTTTGTTCTTTGATATAGAAAAGGCTCCTGCCCTGTAGTGCAAGCCCACCCCACAGAAGCAGTGCAAGCCATGCAAGCTGATCAGTCTCCACCTGCACCTCTGTCTGCTACAGAACCACAATCTCACCACATCTACTCCTTTCATTTTATATTTCTGCTTGTTTCCTCTCAAATTTAAACTTTTATAGCCAATTTAAAATATTCTTCAGCATCAAAATGTTATTTACCTTGTGCAGCCACAGTGCTTACCAAGCAGACAGTCTGGCTGGCAACTACCCCATGTCAAATATAAAGGCAGTGAATTAACTAGCAACTATCTTCACCCTTTGGAAACAACATCATGGGACTGGGAATTAACCCAGCTGGAGCTTCCTTGGCCATTGAGATAGGGGTGGAAAGCCCATGTGAACATGGATTTGCCAGCTATGGAAAGTGCAGGGCAGCCAGCCAGCACTGTTGCTGTCTGTTTGTCTGTGTAGGTGTGAGGTCCACCCTTTGGAGGCATTCTGAGGTCCACCCTCTGGAGGTATTCTGATGTGGAAACCAGTGGTTTAAGTATGATTACTTCTTATTAGCCAGACAACATGTTGTGCTCTATACACGGATCAAAAACAAGAGCTGCTTGTGCATAGCATGCTCCTTGAAGAAGACAGAGGCCTGAGCTCACAGCATGGTGGCATTGGCATTTTTCTCTCCTTTTTTCACTTTGTGAACCCCCCAGATACGTACACAGGGACTCTGCCCATATCCTAGAAACTGCCTTCAAGTCACAAGGTTATAAGCACTTGCTGCAGCAAGCATGGGCTGGAGTACAAGCAGAACCATTACGAACACTCTATGGCCTTTCCCTCCAGCAGATTAAAATCTTTTCCCACACTGGAGCATGTATTATTTATGGCCCTCTATACATATCTGGTGTGTATAGGCATATATATGTCTTTATCATCAGATAGTCCAAATGACTTCAATATGATGTCAGACACTACATTTTCATTCAACAAATGGGTGGCCTAAAATTCCTCACTGAACACAGGCCACTTTATCAAACATGTGCCTGTTAGGCACAGCTGGTCAGCCAGGTCCCTGCTGACCTAAATCTAGGGAAAGTTCTGCATGCAGGAAACACTGGACAAGTGCAAGAACAAAATTCACCCATGTCCCCCACCCGCCCACCTTGCTGCCTGCCCCATGTTCTTGCTGGTTATTCCAGAATGCATCTCTTGTTGCACTGAGACCAGTGGAAGCCAGGCCACCACAGTGGTGGTGGCCTTGTCCTCTGGCCACACTCCGTAATCCAGGCAGAAACTTAAAGCCCATATTCTGGGTTTCAGAAGATTTTGTGGTTTTTCAGAATAAATCACAACACAGGCCTTGGATAAAATATTCAAAATTATTTTATCATGCAGCTCTACAAAAATCCCCCAGGTATGTTCATAAAACACAGAGCAATGTACTTAGTGCTTATAAAGTTATTAAAATTGAATGTCTTTTGCTTCACTAGGCTGCACAGCATTCCCAAAAGTGGGAATGCTCAGGACAGCTATAGCTTTAAGATACCACAGTTAAACTCAAAGGAAGCTTTTATGGAAAGGCCCTACCTTTCTATAGTGTATCTTCTCTGAGAGAACTTTCAGGCTTATTTCTTCCACATGGGTTTGAATATCTTTGCTGGCCTGGGAGGAAATAAAATTATATTGTCACAGGAGTGGCAAATGCAGTTATATTAATTTCAGACAAGAAATGGCTGCACAAAGAGAAGCATGATAAAATCCATTTTTACAACAGGATGTGTCTTGAAATCCAGATAATGCCACTGAATGAAATCACTGGAACCAATTCCATGACACAGACAGTGGTTGGTACTTTTCAAGACAAGTTGCTTTGAATCAAATATAAGTTTGTATTCATCTGGCTCATGATAGAGTAAAACAGTTTCCAACTAACAGTTATTTTACTGTCAGGGCAGTTTTCCACTGATAAACAGAGGAAAATTCAGGCTCTTCCTGTATTACCAAAAATCTTTAAAGGGTCTATCTCTAGACTCTTTACAGCCCTCATTTGTTTTAAGAGAAGAAGAAAATAAATATTTAAAAAAGCTGCTTTTCAAGAAGAAGAGATCTACCATGCCCATCCCTCCCATGCACACTCTCTGCAGCACCAAGAGTGCTCCAGGAGCAGCTCAGCCACCAGCACACACAGCAGAGCAGGACTGCTTGCACTGGGACCAGAGCTCCACTGTCACTCCCCCATGGACTGGAAAGCCATGTAAGCATTTACAAGGTGATGAGCTAGCATGAGCAGACTTTGTGCTGGTATTAATGCCTTGCTGACAAGAGGAAGATCCTATATTTTAAAAAACCCTCAACATGAATCCTCCTGCTAGTAGCTGAAATAAAACATTATGAGCACAGACAGTTTGAGTCCCAGAACAGAAAGTGGAAGCCAATTGCTTTCTACCTAGAAATGCCCCTGTGGAGGCCCTGTCCTCAAAATAAACTCATTTTGCACTGCGCAAAAACTGA